ACACATGCACATGTTTTTCGGAGACTCCCAGGGATGGTAACTCCATCACTGCCCTGGGCAGCCTGTGCCAGTGCCTGACCACCCTTTCCATGAAGAAATTTTCCATAATATCCAATTTAAACCTCCCCTTGCAGCTTGAGGCCCCTTTCTCTTGTTCTCTCCCCCACCACCAACCCTCCCTCCCTTCATCATCGCCCCCCCAACTCCTCACCAAGGCCAGGTCAGGCACCAGGAGTTTCCCATCATCCTTCCTGGCCTCGGTGGGGCCGTTCGTGTCCTTCTCCTGTTTCATGTCTGGGGGGACACTGGGGGTGGGCAGTGCCCGGCCTGGCCCCACGTCCCCTCGGTGCTTCTTGGTGACGTGGGCGTCAGGGCCGTGCACCGTCTTCACGTGCTTGCGCAGGGAGCTGGGGTCGGTGTAGCGCTTGGTGCAGCCAGGGATCTTGCAGACGTACGGCTTCTGTCCGGGAAAACCGGCAGCACGGAGTGGGGAGGGTGTCAGCTCTGGCTGGAGACCCCCTCCCAAAATGGAACCCCCTCCCCTCCCTCTGGAGAGAGCTGAGAGTGGATCAAAGCTGGTCAGTCCCCTTGGAGAGGGCATGGTGGGTGCTGGGGGGGTGGTCAGGGAGGCAGGGGAAAGAGGAGTAAGGATTTACTTTACCCAGGAGTGGGGTAAAGAAATCCCAGTGGGAATGTTGGTGGCAAGGGAGGGAGCAGGGAGACATTTAGAACAGGCAAAGAGGGAGTTGTGGCACACAGAGGCAAAACCCAAGGGACATGAGGAGTTCTCAGAAGACGGGACTGACCCAGAGCTGCATGGGGAGCCTGGAGGGGTGTTGGGAGCCCCAGGTGGGGCCATACCTCATTGGAGTGGGTGCGGTTTTGGTGCTTGGCACGGTCGGAGGCGTTGGAGAAGGCCTTGTTGCAGCCCTCATGCTCACACACGTAAGGTTTCTCTCCCGTGTGTGACCGCAGGTGTGTCTTGAGGTTCTCCAGGCGGGAATAAGCCTTGTTACAGCCCTCAAACTGCGGATGAGCGGGGTGAGATGTGTCATGTGCCATCACCAGGCTCTGGGCCACATCACCCCCACCCCCCAGCACACCTGCCCTCCTCAGGTGCTTCCTCACGCTGCAACACAGCCCCTCCTGTGTCCCTGCCCATGCCATCCCGAGTGCCACCGCGGGGAAACCACAAACTGGGGCTAACTGCAATGCCCAGCTCCCCATCCTAAGTTAAATCCAGGAATGTGTCCCAAAGCAAGGGCTCTGGCTGCCATGCATGAACCCCACTCACTCTCTACCCTGTCCCCCCTCCTTTTCCCAGCTCACCAAGCACTTCTGAGGAGTTCTTGGCAGCTCACCGTGCACTTGTGAGGTTTCTCGCCGGTGTGACGCCGCATGTGCACCACCAACATGTACTGAGCCTTGAACGGCCTCTGCTCCCGGGAACACGCTGCCCAGTGGCACACAAACTCCTTCTTCTCCCCATGGATGTGCTCATTGTTGATGTGCTAAGGGAGAAAGGAACGTCACTGGGAGCAGGAATCGTGGGCTGATCCAGGGGGATGTCACCTGGCAGCCCAAGGGCAGGTTTTGGGGTGGGGATGCCCCAGTAGACTCACATGCACCAGCTGCTCCTGCGTGTCGAACTCCTTGGCGCAGCCTTCCCAGTAGCAGTTGGTCTCATACACAGCTTCACACTCGGGTTTCCCATCCTCCTTCTCCAGCTCTTCCCGGACATCCAGCATTCCAAGCAAGGGGTCCTGGGGGAGCATGACCAGGTGAGCCCTCCCAGGTGGGAGCGGTGCCGGGAGGAGCGTGGAGCCCTGGGGATGTGGGAGGGTCTCGCAGCCTGGGACGCACCTGGGTGCCTGTGGATGCTGGGCTGGAGATGTCGCCCTCGGATCGCTCCTCTGGGAATTTGGTGGTCAGGGGGCTGCTCAAGCTCCACTCCAGTTTCAGCTGCTGCCAGGGCAGGGAAAGCAGGAAGCAGTCAACATGGAGATGCACATTGGATCACTGCTTACACGGGACGCAGCGCTTACACAGATACACCCTCACATGGATGCATGGCTTACATGTCTGACAGGAATGTCTGGCACACATGGATACACAACAGACCCCTGGCTCCCACAGATCCCTGGCTCCCGTGGATTCCCCCTTACCTGGCAGTGCTTCAGGGTTCCACGAGCAGGTGGGTGGTGCAGCAGCCCTGGGCGTGTGGACAGGTGCTCATGGGAGCTGCATGGTGCAGGGGGGGGCGTGTGGCTGTACAGGTGACCTTGCCCCTTCTGCTGCCCAGGTGGACTCTGGTACCCCAGGGATGGGCTGTGGAGACCAAAAGGATGAGCAGGAGACAACCTCAGGGGACAAGATTGAGGTCTCCTGAGCCAGGTTCCCCAGTCATCCCTTCCCCACCATCCCAACCTGCTCCCGGCTCTCCCAGCACTCCCCAGGGTGGGAATGGGCAACTCACATCTGCCAGAGGGCTGAGGGCAGGTGCCCACCTGATGGTGCTGATGGACAGGTGGCCGTAGGAGCCGCCGGCAGAGGCGCAGCGGGAGTTGATGAAGGCGACGAGGGAGTTGGGAGACGTGCGGATCACCGTCTGCAGGTCGATGCTGGAGTCGGACAGGGGGGAGATGGACAGGGCCCGCTTCTTCCCCAGCTTTCCTGCTCCACGAGGCGTGGAGAACCGGGAACCTGCGATGGCAGGAGGGGACACTGCCCTCAGCACGGTCCTGGGGGGCTGCAGACACCCCCGAGGACACACACCTGGTGTTTGGAAGCTCGAGGAGTGCCCTGAGTGCACCAGTTTGCTTTGGATTTAGAGGAAAAGAGATGCTCAACACCCTGTGGACACCTCTTATCCCATGGTCCCAAAAAAAACAGGGACTCACATCGCTGGGGTGTTCGGCTCCGGGTACCAGCCCATAGCCGCGGTGCCCGGGCATAGCCGCCCGGGCTGATGGCACACAGGGAAATCGAGTCCTGGCAGAGCACAGACAGGTGAGGTGAGTGGGGGATAGAGACCCCTGGAGCACCCCTGAGCCCGGGGGTGAAACCGGCGCCTGGGACCCCTGAGATGACCCACCTGGCGGCCCCGGGGCGGCGGGGCCCGGGCTGATGGCACACAGGGAAATCGAGTCCTGGCAGAGCACAGACAGGTGAGGTGAGTGGGGGATAGAGACCCCTGGAGCACCCCTGAGCCCGGGGGTGAAACCGGCGCCTGGGACCCCTGAGATGACCCACCTGGCGGCCCCGGGGCGGCGGG